GGATGGCGAGAAAGGTACATGACACTTGCATCTTCAGGACCTCTGGTCTGTTTCAAAAGCTGCAAGAAGGGACTTTATTCCCAGACCAGAAAATAACCGTGGGGACATTGAAATGCCTATAGTTATCCTTGGGGACCCAGCCTACCCCTTAATGCCATGGCTCATGAAGCCATACACAGGCACCCTGGACAGTAGTCAGGAGCTGTTCGACTACAGGCTGAGCAAGTGCAGAATGGTGGTAGAATGTGCATTTGGGCATTTAAAAGCGCGCTGGCGCAGTTTATTGACTCGGTTAGACCTCAGCGAAACCAATATTCCCACTGTTATTACTGCTTGCTGTGCACTCCACAATATCTGTGAGAGTAAGGGGAAGATATTTATGGCGGAGTGCGAGGTTGAGGAAAATCGCCTGGCTGCTGGTTTCACACAGCCAGACACCGGGGAGGTTAGAAGAGCACAGGAGGGCGCGCTGCGCATCAGAGAAGCTTTGAAAACCAGTTTCATGACTGAACAGGCTACGGTGTGAAAATTCTGTTTGTTTCTCCTTGATGAAACCCCCCGCCCCTTGGTTCACTCTACTTCCCTGTAAGCTAACCACCCTCCCCTCCTCCCTTTGAACACCGCTGTCAGAGGCAATAAAGTCATTGTTGCTTCACATTCATGCATTCTTTATTCATTCATCACACAAATAGGGGGATAACTACCAAGGTAGCCCAGGAGGGGTGGTGGAGGAGAGAAGCACCAGGAGGGGTGGTGGAGGAGGGAAGGACAAGGCCACACAGCACTTTAAAAGTTTAAAACTTTAAAACTTATTGAATGCCAGCCTTCTGTTGCTTGGGCAATCCTCTGGGGTGGAGTGGCCGGGTGGCCAGAGGCCCCCCCACCACGTTCTTGGGCGTCTGGGTGAGGAGGCTATGGAACTTGGGGAGGAGGGCGGTTGGTTACACAGGGGCTGTAGCGGTGGTCTGTGCTCCTGCTGCCTTTCCTGCAGCTCAACCATACGCTGGAGCATATTGGTTTGATCCTCCAGCAGCCTCAGCATTGAATCCTGCCTCCTCTCATCACGCTGCTGCCACCTTTCAGCTTCAGCCGTCTCTTCAGCCTGCCACTTACTCTCTTCAGCCTGCCACCTCTCCTCCCGATCATATTGTGCTTTCCTGCACTCTGACATTGTCTGCCTCCACGCATTCGTCTGTGCTCTGTCAGTGTGGGCAGACAGCATGAGCTCAGAGAACATTTCATCATGAGTGCGTTTTTTTCGCCTTCTAATCTTCAGTAGCCTCTGGGAAGGAGAAGATCCTGTGATCATTGAAACACATGCAGCTGGTGGAGAAAAAAAAAGAGGCAGTGGTATTTAAAAAGACATATTTTCTAGAACAATGGCTACACTCTTTCATAGTAAACCTTGCTGTTGACATTACATACGCAGCACATGTGCTTTTGTTCCAAGGTCGCATTTTGCCTCCCCCCACCACATGGCTAGCCTCTCCCCCCTCCCCCCCCCCCGGCTAACAGCAGGGAACATTTCTGTTCAGCCACAGGCAAACAGCCCAGCAGGAACGGGCACCTCTGCATGTCCCCTTAAGAAAAGCACTCTATTTCAACCAGGTGACCATGAATGATATCACTCTCCTGAGGATAACACAGAGAGATAAAGAACGGATGTTGTTTGAATGCCAGCAAACATACACTGCAATGCTTTGTTCTACAATGATTCCCGAGTACGTGCTACTGGCCTGGTGTGGTAAAGTGTCCTACCATGGTGGGTGGAATAAGGCTGCCCTCCCCAGAATCCTTTTGCAAAGGCTTTGGGAGTACATCCAGGAGAGCTGCAAATGCCAGGGCAAATTAATCATTAAACATGCTTGCTTTTCAAGCATGTATAGTATTTTAAAAGGTACACTCACCAGAGGTCCCTTCTCTGCCTGGCGGGCCCGGGAGGCAGCTTTGGTTGGGTCCGGGGGGGGACTTCCTCCAGGTCCAGGGTGAGAAACAGTTCCTGTCTGTCGGGAAAACTGGTTTCTCCACTTGCTTGCTGTGAGCTATCTACAACTTCATCATCATCTTCCTCGTCCTCAAAACCTGCTTCTGTGTTGCCTCCATCTCCATTGAAGGAGTCAAACAACACGGCTGGGGTAGTGGTGGCCGAACCCCCTAAAATGGCATGCAGCTCATCATAGAAGCGGCATGTTTGGGGCTCTGACCTGGAGCGGCCATTCGCCTGCTGGTAGGCTTGCCTCAGCTCCTTAAGTTTCACCCTGTTATGGCCTCTGTCCTTCATGCCCTGGGAGATTTTGGCAAATGTTTTGGCATTTCGAAAATGGAACGGAGTTCTGATAGCACGGATTCCTCTCCCCATACAGCGATCAGATCCCGTACCTCCCGTTCAGTCCATGCTGGAGCTCTTTTGCGATTCTGGGACTCCATCATGCTCACCTCTGCTGATGAGCTCTGGCCAGCATGGCAAGCTGCAGGTGACCATGCAAACGGGAAATTGAAATTCAAAAGTTCGCAGGCCTTTTCCTGTCTACCTGGCCAGTGCATCTAAGTTGAGAGTGCTGTCCATAGCGGTCACAATAGAGCACTCTGGGATAGCTCCCGGAGGCCAATACCATCTAATTGCGCTCACAGTACCCCAAATTCGACCCGGCAAGGCCGATTTAAGTGCTAATCCACTTGTCAGAGGTGGATTAAGGAAATTGATTTTAAGAGCTGTTTAAGTTGAAAAAAAGGGCTTCATCGTGTGGACAGGTGCAGGTTTACATCGATTTAACGCTGCTAAATTCGACCTAAACTCCTAGTGTAGACCAGGGCTAAATTTCCTTGTGGCCAGTTTATATCCATTTGTTCTTGTGTCCACATTGGTACTGATCTTAAATAATTCCTCTCCCTCTCCGGTATTTATCCCTCTGATATATTTATAGAGAGCAATCATATCTCCCCTCAACCTTCTTTTAGTTAGGCTAAACAAGCCAAGCTCCTTGAGTCTCCTTTCATAAGACAAGTTTTCCATTCCTCGGATCATCCTAGTAGCCCTTCCCTGTACCTGTTCCAGTTTGAATTCATCCTTCTTAAACATGGGAGACCAGAACTGCACACAGTATTCCAGGTGAGGTCTCACCAGTGCCTTGTATAACGGTACTAAAATCTCCATATCCCTACTGGAAATACCTCTCCTGATGCTTCCCAAGGCCGCATTAGCTTTTTTCACGGCCATATCACATTGGCGGCTCATAGTCATCTTATGATCAACCAATACTCCAAGGTCCTTTTCCTCCTCCGTTACTTCTAATTGATGCGTCCCCAACTTATAACTAAAATTCTTGTTATTAATCCCTAAATGCATGACCTTACATTTCTCACTATTAAATTTCATCCTACTACTATTACTCCAGTTTACAAGGTCATCCAGATCCTCCTGGAGGATATCCCTGTCCTTCTCTAAATTGACAATACCTCCCAGCTTTGTATCATCCACAAACTTTATTAGCACACTCCCACTTTTTGTGCTGAGGTCAGTAATAAAAGATTAAATAAGATTGGTCCCAAAACCAATCCTTGAGGAACTCCACTGGTAACCTCCCTGCAGCCTGACAGTTCACCTTTCAGTAGGACCCGTTGTAGTCTGCCCTTTAACCAATTCCTTATCCACCTTTCATTTTTCCTGTTGATTCCCATCATATCCAATTTAACTAATAATTCCCCATGTGGCACGGTATCAAACGCCTTACTGAAATCTAGGTAAATTAGATCCACTGCGTTTCCTTTGTCTAAAAAATCTGTTACTTTCTCAAAGAAGGAGATCAGGTTGGTTTGGCACGATCTACCTTTTGTAAAACCATGTTGTGTTTTGTCCCATTTACCATTGACTTCAATGTCCTTAACTACCTTCTCCTTCAAAAATTTTTCCAAGACCTTGCATACTATAGATGTCAAACTAACAGGCCTGTAATTACCTGGATCACTTTTTTTCTCTTTCTTAAAAATAGGAACTATGTTAGCAATTCTCCAATCATATAGTACAACCCCTGAGTTTACAGATTCATTAAAAATTCTTGCTAATGGGCTTGCAATTTCATGTGCCAATTCCTTTAATATTCTTGGATGACGATTATCTGGGCCCCCCGATTTAGTCCCATTAAGCTGTTTGAGTTTTGCTTCTACCTCAGATATGGTAATGTCTACCTCCATATCCTCATGTCTCTTTCTGTGTCCCCCCAGAACATGATGGTGCTGAGGGACCTGAATGGGGGTGGGGCCTGCATCCCATCTGGATATGCAGAGAGCCTGGTTTCCCCTGGCTGATCGGTGACGGTGCTGACACCATGATCAGAGTCCTGACCCACTGCAGCTATGACGGATAGCCGGGGGCCAGCATGGGGACAGGGGTGCAGTCCCAGGGGAGGGCTGGAGGACTGGGAGAATGAGCACAGGGCGGGGAGGAGTGGGGGTCTCAGCCTGCCATGTGGAGAGAACTGACTCCGAGGCCTGGGTGTGGGAGGGCAGAGAAGTGGATCAGACCACAATGATGTGGGGGGGGGACTGACTCCAAGCCAGAGGACGGGCTCCCCAGGATGGGTGGGAGTCCCAGCATGAGGGGTGGCCGAAGTGTGGCACAGACTGCCCCTGGCAGAGAGGAGTGGGTGGGGAACAATAGGAGAGTGCAGTGGTCTCAGGCCCCCGCAGTTTATAGATTAACCCATCTGTGCAGGTATTGCATGGGGTTGGGGGATCTCTACCCCCAGAGCAGATCTCCAGCCCAGCAGCTTTCCCCCCACAAGCCAGTCTTTTCCCCCAGGGCACACAGATGGGTACAGAAGATTAGGAGTTTGGGTGCAAGGAGAGGCTTGTCAGATTAATCTAAATTGACCTTGTAATCATGATATCCACTCAGTCCACACCTAATCTTCTGTCTTTCTCTCTTGCTCTCTTTCTAGCAACTCTAAAGACAAAACATGTTACACTAATAAAATAATACCAATAGGATCTTATAAGAGGGATAAGGCAAAAGAAATGCCATGTTTATTGTAACTACAACAAAACATTACTATATGCAATTTCTATATAGATCCATTCACACACACAGACATTCACACACAGGTTCTACATAAAGGTTGTTATAGTTACCAGCCTAGATGTTGCTCGTGCCAAGTCACCGACCAGGTGGCCTGGACATGAGAGTGGAGCCGAGTCATTGTCAGATGCGCATCCGATGCGCCTGGAGTGTGGTTGCAGAACCAGACTCAAAGAACACAGTCCCAGGGTCCAATCTTTATAGGTCTCTGGTTCAATACAAGTCTATGGAAGTTGCTTCATCGTGCTGAATTTACAATTGAGATGACCATCAATCAGCTCAATCAGCAGATGGTACATCCATGACTGCTCCATGACAGCTAGGTGTTATCTTCTTGTTCTTCCTTTATGCGTTTTGGGTGGATTCCGGTTCGCCCTCTGGGGGTCATCCGGTTATCTCCACTCTGCATACTCTTCGGCCCATCGATACCAAGGTTGTAATTCTTAGGATTAGGCTGGCACCATTTACTAACCAATTATTTACCTGCTTCAGACATTCCATTCCATGCACTCATTATTCATTCTTTTACTTAAAAACACAGTCTCATGACTCCTTTGGGTTTAACAAGTTTCATCCCATTGTTTTTCCCTCTTTGGTTACAAAGATTTACATAGGCATGATAAGGGGCCCCCGTGGGGGAGGAAGAGCATCAGGGTGTTGCTTCAAAGAACACCGTTTTCTCAAAGTTCGTATCACTCTCCAGCACAGACTTTGTCCTGTACTGGCCATTCTTATAATCTCCTTGCATAACCTATTAACTCAGTCCTTGTACCGGCTTGAGATAATTAGCACTTTGGCCTTGCATTTGTTACATAGTGAAATTCAACATAATAGTACAGCATGGAAGTGATATTCATAACCTTTTACAATACCTATATAACTCTTATATCTATCTTTAATTTTACTACTACTTGATTATAATTTTACCATACTTATATAACTATGAGGGTGACCCAACAACAGACAAGACCACAGAAGCACCAAAGAAATGGCAGGAAAAGAGAAGGGAAGAAACAGCCCCGGAGAAAGGATGGAGACACACTGTACGCATGCCTCTGCTCTCCTGTAACGAGGGCTCGGGTCCTAAACACTTGCTTCAGTGGGTTTAAGCCCCCTAGAAGTGCCATGTAGAAGGACCTCCCTGTAAATAGTGATCAATGTCCTTCACCTCCAAACAAATGATTTGGGTATCCATTACATATCTGTAGCTCAAGGACCACGCTTAAATATGGGTTCCGGTCTCTTTCTGTTTCACACCTTTTAAATGCCCTGTGTGACTGACCTCTCCACGCAACAAGGCTTCAGTTCCCCCCCATACTGAGTTGGAGTAGCCTCCCACTGAGCTGGAGGGGGAGGGACCACTCTCTGATCCCTGGTGGGCGGAGCCAGGCTGGGCTCACCCTTCCTACAGGAACCTAAGAGGCGGGACAGGAAGTATAAAAGGTGGAGCCTCTAATATGGTTCAGCCTGAGCTAGGGAAAGGAGCAGATGTCTTCAGATTGCTCTTGAGCCTGAAGCAACAGCTGCACTGTGCCCTGCCTGAGGATGAGACTGAGAAGAGCTGCTGCTTGCTGTATACCTTGAGGAGATGCAGGATGACCCTGAGCTGCAAGTACCTTATGGGGAGAGAGTAAGAAGTAGCCCAGGGACAGCTGACTATAATTCAGTGGCTGCCTGAATGCTGGTCAGTGTGTTTTGGTTGGCTCCCTGCTGATCCAGTGGTGGAACACTGTCATGGTTAGAGCCCTGTGCTGGGACCTGGTGGAATAGGGTGAGCCTGGGTCTCCCTATGCCCTGCTGCCAACCACACCCTGGGTTGGCAGCCCTTAAGCTCAGAAGCCTGAGTTTGCCTGCTGGAGTCAGGATGCTAAATACTGGACTATATTTGTTTTGCTGGGCCCTGCCTAAGGGCCTGGGCTCCTTGAGATGGTTGGACTGCACTGTCCCACCTAAGGACCTAACCTTGAATTCCTGGTAAGGGGTGGTGTCCCAGGGGTGTAGTGAGGTGGAGTGGCCTTTCACGAAGGAGGGGATAGGGACACTGCCAACCCATTAAACGCCCAATTTAGCTCCTCTTGGGTCCCAGGTAACTGCTAGGCAAAATGACCCCTGGCTACTGAGAGAATGTAGGTCTCTCCTTTCCCTCACTCTTAGCCCTGGCCTTTTTTCATACCCTTGGTCTAATGACAACCTTTTAAGAAGAGTTTGGGTCACCTTTCCCATGTGTATTTAGTCCTGGGTCACTTTCATGTGAGTCAAAATGACTGCCCTGTAAACCCAGTGTAAGGTCTTAGCCCTCTTACACTTAAAGTAGTGGGGCCTTTTTGTGGCTTGAGGCCATTGCTGGCCAAGAAATGCATGGGTACAGAGGCCTGACTATTCATGTCTGTCTTTTTGACATTGCTTCAGCTATAATATTGGCTTGTCAGATATCAATAAAATCATTGACTTATAACTGTGTTGCTTGGGGACCATTTTTGGGATGGACCAGAGTGGGGCCTGGATGGTGGAGGCAAAGTTGAAGGACTCTGGAAGGGGGTATGACAATGCTGCGGCTTCAGCCCTGCAGTTCAAACTCTCAAAGATGTAGCAATGTCTGACTCATCCAAGGAGACCATGCATGGTACTTCAAATGCCCTAGATATTAAAATTTGGAATGGACCACCAGAGCAAGAGGGAATATTGGTGGCGGTCTGATGTTCTGGGGGTTCAGAGCAGTAAGGGGTTATGTAACTCTTGCCCTGCAGCTCTGGGGACTGTAAAAGCTATGCTCCCAATCTGGACGCTAATGGCCGGCAAACAAGCATTCAGGTCACCCCCTAGCTTCCACAACCCATTTATTACTTCTGAATTTCCCCCAAATCAGCTGCCAATGTGACAATATGCCAAGGTTCCCAGAATTGAGTTACTATGTTACCTCTCAACAAGTGAGAGTTTTGCCACTGGTAAGTTGTGTGACAGATCTCTGATGCACCTGTTTCTCCTGTTAGGAAACTCTTCAGGACTCTGCCAATCCAAACCTTGCCTTGCCACCAACAAACAGAACCCCCTACTCCTCAGTTCCCCAGATTCGTTTCCCTACAGTGGCCCACCTTCTCTTGGAACACTCACAGAAATTAAGCTTGCTGCTCCTTTAAAGAGATGGTAGCAATAGTTTATTAATTGTGATTAACTAACTCAACTTAATCACAGCACTAAATTGCTTTATAGTAAATTAAGTGGACTAAAGACTATGTCAAAGGTTTAAGTGACTCCAAGTATAAGGAGAAAAGCTAGAAAGGGTAACAAACAAAAGTAAAAATCTGCTTCTAAGACACACCTAACTTCAGCAACTTAAAATCTTCCCTGAAGCAGGTTTCTCAACTGCAGTCACTTCCCAGACACTTAAACCTCCTTGGCTGAAGGACCCAATTTTCTGTGGATTTTTTTTTGAGAGAGAGAGACCAGGCCCCTTGGATCCCTTAAGTCATGGATAACTCCAATGTCTTTTTGACCTTGTGATGTGGTTTACTCCCCACACAGGACCTCAGAGGATTGACTTAGGCCAGGCAGGTCCAATTAAGCAGCAAATAGTGGGGAGATTTAGGCTATGAGGAGGTCACTAATTGGAAGCAAGCTCTCTCCTATGAGGGAACAGGTGGGGCTTACATAAAGCTCAGACTGGCAACTGAAAGATGGCTGCCACTGAATAGTATAAAGCTGTCAAGGTTCCTTCCCCACTCTGAACTCTAGGGCACAGATGTGGGGACCTGCATGAAAAGCTCCTAAGCTTACTTTTACCAGCTTAGGTTAAAACTTTCCCAACTTTCCCAAACTATTTTACTCTTTGCCCTTGAAACTTCCACTGCCACCACCAAACATTTATCTGGGTTTATTTTTATTAGGAAAACATTGTTTGAAAACGTCTTCCCCCCCCAAAATCCTCCCAACCCTTGCACCCGCTTCCTGGGGAAGGCTTGGTAAAAATCCTCACCAATTTGCATACGTGATCACAGACCCAAACCCTTGGATCTTAAGAACAATGAAAAAACACTCAGTTTCTGAAAAGAAGGATTTTAACAGAAGTAAAAAGAATCACCTCTAAAATCAGGATGGTAAATACCTGACAGGGTAATTAGATTCAAAACATAGAGAATCCTTCTAGGCAAAACCTTAAGTTACAAAAAGGCACACAGACAGAAATAATCATTCTATTCAGCACAATTCTTTTCTCAGCCATTTAAAGAAATCATAATCTAACGCATACCTAGCTAGATTACTTACTAAAAGTTCTAAGACTCCATTCCTGTTCTGTCCCCAGCAAAAGCATCGTATCAGACAGACACAGACCCTTTGTTTTTCTCCCTCCTCCCAGCTTTTGAAAATATCTTGTCTCCTCATTGGTCATTTTGGTCAGGTGCCAGCGAGGTTATTTTAGCTTCTTAACCCTTTACAGGTGAAAGGATTTTTCCTCTGGCCAGGAGGGATTTTAAAGGTGTTTACCCTTCCCTTTATATTTATGACAAAAGCATATCCATGATTACCCATAATTCCTCACAGTTCTAAATATTAATAACCGGTGTATCATAGGCTTGCATACAAGACCTCACTTGATGCACTCTTATAGTACATAAGGCTGTACTTGTGGGATAACTCTCTGCCTTGTAGAAAAAACATGAAAAATTGTGGGAAAACTAATTCTACCATATTTGTGGTAATAAGGTTCCATTATTGCTTTGCCACAATTTTGAGTGGCCACCCAGGGCTCCCACTCAAAATTGTGCTGTGAGCAATACTGTGGATTCAACAATGCTAGGCAAGTTAAGGCCTCAATAGTATAGTAATAGTCTATGCAATTAACTGACCCTCATCATTTGAGGGTCAGACCCCTCATCTTTATAGTTGAGTGGTGGGGAAGACACCCTCTTGCCAGGTCAGTGGCTCTCAACCTTTCCAGACTACTGTACCCCTTTCAGGAGTCTGATTTGTCTTGCAAACCCCCAAGTTTCACCCCATTTAAACTACTTGCTTACAAAATCAGTGCTCAGTTCATTCTGGTCCTTAGCTGGAATCTGCTCCCCCAGCTGCTCCAGTTCAATGAAATTTCTGGGTACAGATGACTGTTCCTGCCATTCCAGGAGAAGCTGTAGAGGACAGTGTGTTCCAATCTGGATGTGGTTGGTGGGCCAGGTGGCTGCTCTCAGAGCAGGATCCATTGTCACTTGTGAAGAGAAGGGCAGAAAGCAGTTCTGATATGGTCAGTGCAACATGCTACTACTGGTGAAAATGGGGGCACAGGGAGCTTTACAGATGGGGTAAGGGTCAGGCAGAAAAGGGTTCGGTATGTAGTGGGACTGGGGGTGGAAGACTACAAGTACCAGATCTCATGTTTATGTCCCTTACACCCATCCGTGCTGCCAACTGGCACAAGTATGGAAGGAGGAGCTAAACTCAAATGCTATTCCATAGGGTAAGGCAAAAAAGGTGGCCTACACATCACTTTTCTGTTCCTACCCCTGCTCTGCTCAGCTGCAACAAGCCTAAACCTGTCTCAGCTGAGGATTTGGCACTCTGCCTTTTGAGTCAATCCGTTACCTCTCTAAAAGTGCAAAGTTTCAAAAAGTTCAATGAATAGATTGTTGGGGGCAGAATAGATCTAGACAAGGAGACATCTGGAGATAAATGTGAGAAGCGAGAGACATACATTTTTGTTAAAATGTTTGTTGAAGAGAAATCCAGAATACTTAACAGTGGTTTTTAGTTAACTAAAACTTAAATGTCTGTGTGGTGGTCTCCTAATACAGCATGGCAAGAAAATCCTCCAAATATGAAGGATCATTAAATCTCCCAATGACTTCATAAAGATCTGCTTCAACTACCTTTGGTAAATGAAATAACCAAACAATCATTCATTTTCTGGTATAGCTATAAAACTAATCCGAAAAGTTCTCAAAATAAATAACTTTAAAAATGTATAACGTTCATCTTCTAAAAATGAAACCTACATTGGAGTTGTGAAGAATATGTATTAAGGTTATAACCAACAAAAATACACTTATGTAGAAAACCATGATTAAATCAAGTTTTCCTGACTCATGATTTAAATCAAATCTATCCTCTTCGGACAAGAAGCAAAGGGCTTAAATTGCAGCAAGGGCGGTTTAGTTTGGACATTCGGAAAAAACTTCCTAACTGTCAAGGTGGTTAAGCACTAGAATAAATGGCCTAGGGAGGTTGTGGAATCTTCTTCATCGGGGATTTTTAAGAGCAGGTTGGACAAACACTTGTCAGAGATGACCTAGATCAGGTTGGCCACCTTTGAGAAGTGCTGTGCAAAGTCTTAATTTATTTACTGCAATTTAAGGTTTCACATGCTAGTAATACATTTTACTTTTACAGGGGTCAGCGGACAAAACCCCAGACTGGCGTGGGCTGAGCGGGGCTGGCAGCCAGGACTCCGGCTGGCAGGGGCCAGCAAATGGAATCCCGGGGTGGCAGACAGAACCCCAGCACAGCAGTGGGTGGGCGGGCTAAGTGGCTCAGCCTGGCGGCCCCTGCTGGGCAGGGTCCATCCAGGCCGGCCGTGGGCTGAGCAGGGCCAGCAGCCAGGACCCTGGGCTGCACTGCTCAGGCTCCTGCCAGTCTGGGGGTCTGTCTGACAGCGGGGGTCCCAGTCACCAGCCCTGCTCAGCCCACTGCCAGCCTGGGGTTCCATTCATCCAGGCAGGCAGTGGGCTGAGCGGAACTGGAGGCCGGGACCCTGGCTGGCAGCGGAGTGCCACTAAAAATCTGCTCACGTGCTGCCTTTGACACGTGTGCTGCAGGTTGCTGACCCTGGCCTAGATAATGCATAGTCCTGCCTTGAGTGCAGGGGACTGGACTAGATGACCTCTCAAGGTCCCTTCCCATTCTAATTTGATTATGCATGTGCATGCTTCAATTACCTGAATTCTGCATTTTTCCTGTTGGTTTTCCAGTTTGTCTTATTTTATACCCCCTTGCCCTGGGTCTTCCCAGAAAGGACTTTTTGGTGTGGTTGTGTTCTTTACCTCAGAACTTACGGCACATTGTGTTACTGTCAGTCTGTCAGCAATAACATAAATTTGAGCCATCAGTTACTTTATGAAGGAAAAAAATTGGTAAAACTACACTTACACAAACAAGGCATTGGCTCATGTTTTTTCTATACTGATTCACTAATTACAAATCTTTAAAATATAGCTGACAAAGCTTTTAATTTTACCATTTAGCCATCTTCATTTTTGTCAGTACATGTTATCCTTTATCTACTTGAGCAGAGGAGTTTGGATATCATGCTAACTTTCTTTAATGTCAACATTTATCTTTAAACATCAGGGCTTTTCATTCAAAGTCCAGTTTCATTATGAATCATTACCCAGAAACTTCATTATAAATTTTCCTGTAGATGCATTTTTGTGGGGTGTCAATTTTAGGGCCTTGATATCGAGTTGCTTTTAATGGTACCCCAACAATATAGTGCCAATAGGGTTTTTGTTTGAATGGTCTCTCTTTAGGTATTTATAGCTCACTCATCACCATGCATGGGTAGTTGTTCACCTCTTGCCAACCACCACAACAGCCATGTGCCAGAAATCCTTAAGGGATTTAACCCCGGCTGGGGTTCTTGAGCTGTGCTAGAGACATGAATGGGACTTTTGTGCCTGTCTTGTGATCTAAACCCCTGAACAAACCATGCAGATGAAGGTTTTAGTGCCTGGGGAAAAAATATTGACTGTAAAATGGGCAAAGTGGGATGCTAGTTGCTTCTAACAACACTAACAGACCCTGCATAATCCCTTTCCTTGTGGTTTATGATGGGTGGGGAACCTTTTTCTGTCGGGGCCATTGGCCCACATTAAAAATCTGGGGTGAGGCCAGAAATGGGGGTGGAGAGGGCTGTGACATTCTATACCTTGGGGAGTACCCTGTAACCCCATATTCCTCATTAATATCTATAACTGATATTGCATATAAAGCTGGCCATGTGAGGTATCAGGGGAAAGGTTATGATCTGCTGGAAGTGATTGTTGTATCTAAAGGTGTATATCCTTAATGCATATGAAGTTATGAGAATGTTGTATGGTTGTCACTAAAATGTGTTGTAGGTTTGGGAGACATACAGATACTAGCTCTCCAGGGACAATAAAGGTAACCAACATCTGGGTGGGGTGCTGAACAGCATCACCAGCCATTGTCCAGCAAGGGAGCTGCAATTCAGTGACTCGCCTGCATAAGGCCACACCAGGGGAATTGCTCAGCCTTGCCTGGGGACTCAGCAATGCCCACCAGACGTGATCTACGGGTATAAAACAGAAGTGTGGCCACATGCTTGACCTTTTTCCTGCCCCCACCTATGCTGCAAGCAACAAAGACACCCAGAAGAAGATTGGCCCAGGTTTAAGGGACAAATTAAGGACCGCAATATCCAGTGGGATGAGAAACTGCTTAACCTAGATGTTGCCCAGCCTAATAGGATTGAGTTTGGACTGCATGCTTAGAATAGTTACCAAAATACGACTTTTAACCTGTCACTTAAACACACAAGTTTGACTAAAAAAGAAATTTTATCTTTACCAGTGAGTTTGCCTGAAATGTGTAGTAAATCTGCTCAGGTTAGAAAGGCTGGTGTACATCTGCTCTCCATTAGAGTGGTGAACAAATTAATAAATTTGTACTCCATCTTCAGAAGTACAAGAGTGTATAGTCCTAAGGTACAAGGCTGGGAGCTGGGGGGATTTGGCTAGTGCCTCACTCTGATTCATGAGTGGCTTTAGGAGCATTCATAAGATCTAGCTGGGTGTAGGGCTCCATATGCTGTGGTGCTGAGTGATCACAGCACCTGGAGGGGTTTGCTGCTTATCATTAGCAAAGCACTGAGAGGCAGCCCAGGCTGGAGAGTTAAGAGGGCACAGCAGTCCCAGGCTACACCCTGGGGATCATATCACAGGGGCTCTGGGTTGGGGCAGGGATGTAGAATGGATTGAGGGATCTGGCTGGGGGTGCAGGCTCTGGGGTGGGGATGAGGGGTTTGAGGTATGGGGGGGCTCAACCCTGGGTTGGGGGGCAGGGTATGGGAGGGAGTTCTGACCTGGGCCAGAGTTCAGGGTGCAGTCTCTGGCCACATGGTACTTACCTCTGGTGGCTCCTGGTCAGCAGGGCTGAGGCAGGCTCCCTGGCTGCACACAGCTCCCAGAAGTACCTGCCATGTCCTTCCCTTAGGCGGAGGGGCCAGGTGGCTCTGAATGGTTTCTGGCCAATGGGAGCTACAGAGCCAGGGCTGGGGGGCAGGGGAAGCATGCAGAGCTCCTCTAATTGCCCCTGCTTCTAGGGGCCACAGGGACATCTGGGAGCTGCATGGAGCTGACCAGACTTTTAATGGTCTGGCAACCCTAGTTTCTCCTTTTTTCTCCCTTTCCCCCTCCCCACCCACAGCAGGGTGAGCTGGTGCTCCTGGCTCCAGCCTTGCCCGGGGGCATAGAAGCCACTGGCCCATGGTGGGAGAACTTGCCATGGGCTGGATGAAATGAAGCAGCAGATCAGATCCGGCCCATGGGCTGTATGTTTCCCCAGCCCTGGTTTATGAAACTGACACAAGCATAGGCTATTTCAAATATTTATCATAAGCCAATGACTCCTTTTGTGTGAGGATGTGAGGTGTGCTGTAGTGGAGGGAGAATAAACCACACTTAGCATGGTAAATATCTCTAATGTAGACCATTGAACCAAGGTAAAATGTGCTATCACTCAACTTGATAGTAATTATGTAAGTTCTGTGGAACTTGTCTACACAAGGAGTTTTTGGCTCCACCTAAATACCCAGAGTGCTCTCCTTCTGCACTAAAAATTTGAACAATGTTTGAATGACCCATCAATGGCTAGCCTAGCATGTGTTACACACTGCGAGCGTGCAGGGAATATATCTAGTTTGTATTAGTACCTATGTTCTTGCCAAAGTCAGACTCTTCAGTGGAAAGAAGCAGTCTCTGCACAGCTGGGACAGCTTACCAACAGAGGCCGACACACAAACTTCTGGAAGAGTAAGCAGGGCACACTTATAAACTCTATACAATATAGATGCTAAAATTCTAAAAGATAAGAAAATACTGTTTGTTCAAAGGTCAAAGAGCTGGCTGTGTTATAACATTCCATTTTCCAGGCAGGTTTTCTGTCCTTTACTCATAAGGTACACCTCTAGCTAGAAAAATCCCATTCTTCAAATATTTTAAACTACCTATAGCCATGTGCAAATAGGTGGCCTAGCTATTGCATCGCTTTTTTCCCCCATCTCTTCCTCAGCCTAGTGCAGGGTTGACTGAGGTCTGAAGGGCTCGGTTCAGTTAGGAATGTAAAAACTTATTGGGGATTTTGAGGGTCTTATTCTGATTTAGAAGATACAAATAGGTATCTGTAGCCAAGAGAACATGAATTCTGGATATCCAGAGGGGTCGTAGGGGAGAGCCTGGCAGTGGGGAGGAATGGACTATAGCACTGGGTGGCTGCCACTGGAGCCTGGGACAGGTTAGTAGGTGGGAGCTGAACAGTGGGGAGGTTCTGGGGTTTTGAAATTCTCTGTAGGGAGAGAGATGTAGGTGGGGGGGAGGAAAGAGCTCTGGGGCTGACTTGCAGAGAGCCAGGGGATAGGTCCCTGAGTCAGCATGACATTTGAGGGGAGGGAGGTGAAGAAACAGTGCAATAGCATGAACAAAAGCTTTCTAGTTCCAGTTGAACAGAGCCCTTATATTTGCTCTTTTGAAAACACTTCCTTTTATCTTCAAGTGCAATTGCACTAGACTGCATATCTGAAAGAAACTTGAAAGCTGTGGCCGCTGTATAATAGCTTTCATGCAATCTGCAACCTGGGGCAAAGGACAGTGATGTATCTTATGACTGAGCAGATAAAATGCAGTGTTAATCATTTCCTTTGCAAATAGTACAAAAGTGCAAATCTCATGGAGCTGGTCAAGCCATTTTTGGCATTGCAAAACTATTTCAAATCCATGAGTCTTTTGCTCATACAGGACTAAAAAGTTCAATACAATTTTCCATCTCTTCCATGCCCAATGCCAAAGTTGATTCATTTTTAAAAACTAGAACTGCTTTGGTCACAGTTTTCCTCACCGTTTCTCTCAATTGGTCTTTTTACTCTACTTTTACCCTGTTTGCCCCTTGGATGTTTTATCTTAGCTCCTTTTTTCCCCTCTAGTCTCTAATAAAACAATACAATAAGGTTCAGGTTCAAGTTGAAATTTTTGCACCAACAATTTCTGAGGGTGTTCTAGATCGGACCAACCATTCTTGCCCCCATTCCCTATTTCAGTCTGTATAGCCATTTCATTAGCTGCAGTAACAGAAGCTAGACTTTGGTCCCCATATATGGGTTTGAAGCAGTAGCTACAATTTCTTTTTAAATCCTTGAAGCAAAGGGATTCCAAGCTGAGGGGAAAGTGGGAGGCAAACACAAGTGCAAATTGAACCTTTAAAAACCCATTTCCAGAAATACAAACGTTGCTTCTGAGCATTGGTCCGTTTTATTCTGTGGTTTGGCTTGCAGGACTAATGGCTGTAATGTTGACTCTTGAGGGCATCAGTTTAAAACTCCAGTATTTTTCAGTTCTTATCTTTTACTACTTACCAGTCTCTAGAAGGCAGGCAGCTCTGCTCCCACTGTAGCTGGGGTCTTTGAATGAACATACTAGGAAGAAAATGTTTTCCATGGCAATGCCCTGTGAAGTAAAATGACTGTAAGTAACAGAATACAGCTTAGTCGGATGAAACTCAACCTATAGAAGGGGAAAGTCACTCAGCAGGGACAACTTCGCTTGGAATAAAATGCTCTGGATTCCTGAAATGAGCAAGATGCATATGAGCAGCGAAGTGGACATTAATGTGATGCCATTATTTTTGTATTTGCTCCTGGTCATTTTTAGTGACTACAGGCTCTTGCGCAAGTATAATTCTTCCCCCCCCCCACAGGTTATTAAATGCAGGGCTGCAGTTATCTGGGAGGCGGGTGAAGCGCTCTCTATCAAGGAGGTGGAGGCTGCTCCTCCAAAAGCCCAAGAAGTTTGTGCTCTTGCTCGTGTTGCCCCTGCCCTCTGTGAAGGGCCCTGTGCGGATGTGCTGTGTGCCTCTTTGGCATCTCACGTCTTGGCAAGGAGGGCTCTTTTTTAAAGATGCCTGGTTGCCTAAATGTTTAAGAAATCCCCATCTCTTCACCAGCCTCTGACCAGAGGCTATCACTGATGGATATTTGAGCAGTTGCTGGATGCTTTGTTTATGCATGCTCCCAAGGAACTTTACAAAAAATCCCTAGCCCTATTTTACAGATAAGGAAACTGAGGATAGGGTGGTGAGTGATTTAAGATTACACAGCAGGTGAGTGGTAGAGAGAGGCACTAGACCCGGGTCTCCTGACTCCCATAGGGTGACCAGAAGTCCCCATTTTATAGGGACAGCATAGGCACCAACTCTATGGGTGCTTTGGGGCTGGAGCACCCACAGGGAGAAATTAGTGGGTGCTCTGCACCCACCAGCAGCCAAGCTCCCCACCCTTCCTCACCTCTTCCTCTGCTTCCTTCCCTGAGCACGCCATGTCCCCGCTCCTCTGCCTATCTCCCAGCGCTTGCTGCTGCCAAACAGCTGTAGCAAGCTCCAGGGGGGAGGAGTGGGAACATGGCATGCTCAGGGGGAGGGGCAGGGATTTGGGGCAGAGGGGGGCCAAGCACCCACTGGCACCAGTAGAAGTCAGCACCTGAGGGACAGTCCTGATTTTTTGGGGGGCTTTTTCTTATAGGCACCTATTTTCCCCCCCACACACACCCCATCCCAATCTTTCACACTTGCCCTTTGGTCACCCTAGACTCCCAGTCTAGTGCCTTAGCCACTGAAACACGAGCACTGTTGTTGCTGGCACCCAGTGCCGAGAGGCTGACCAACAGCTTGAGTGGTTCGTTACCCGGTGTGCTACACCCAATAATCACAACGGGGTGGAGAAGCAGAAAAGTTTATTTGAAGCTTCAAATAGGTACAGGGAGATTTGAATCTCAAATCCTGTACACAGAGCAGGAAGTTACACAGGCTTTTATACATCCTTTTTCCCAGCATACTTATCCAATAGCAAGCTGCCCCAAGTATCCATATAGCCAGCCAATCCAGTTCCCAGCTAATTCCCTGGTTCTCTGTGTCATTTGTTAAACTATACATAAAGCTGCTTTATTCAGCATTGTTCTTCCATATCTGCCCTGTGTGGCCTTGCTTAGTTTCAGGCAGTCTGATTTTGCAGTATATTGTTGCAGATCCTCAGCATAACTGCTGTGTGTGCCTCCAGGCGGGGGGGCCAAGGACACTTGGCCCTAGTACGCAGAGCTGCTGCGAGTGCCTCCGGGGGGAGGGGGGGGCAAGGACACTTGGGCCTAGTGCGAGGGGGCTTCATCAACACTCGTGGTCTTCCATCCCCTCGAGTTACCTAGTGGCCATGCCCCAGTGTCCCCAACACTGTTAGTATTCCTATCAGTACTTGACCGACATTTTAGTACTAGTTAGTTTTTTTGGCAAGTGCACTGTGCAGAATGGGGGTTACTGTGGATCTCTAATGAAGCTAAAAGATCAGTTAATGCAAAACCATTGCAATACAGCCAAAAAAGAAATAAATGCCAAGATTGCTTATGCCAATAAACGTGCTGGATGTGGCTGAAAAGCAGGAATTCTCACTGGATTCTCAAATAATATTAGGTTTCAGAGTAGCAGCCGTGTTAGTCTGTACTGGCAAAAAGAAAAGGAGGACTTGTGGCACCTTAGAGACTAACAAATTTATTTGAGCAATTTATTTGTTAGTCTCTAAGGTGCCACAAGTCCTCATTTTCTTTTTTCAAATAATATTGTGCATGCACTCTCTCCTGCAAGTAACATTCCTGTATGTCTTATGCATGGTCTGTTGCATAACTTGTGTCAACACCAAATTTGTCACCCACTAAGATAAGCACCATTACAGCAACAAAATAACACCATCTCCTGAGCAACAGCAAGCCATAGCAAACCTACTTTTGGTAGACCATGTGAGTGTAGACACTGCATGGGTTTTTAATGCCTTTTTCCTGACTGCTCACTTTGAGCACACCTAGCAGCTCACCTTTGTGGCATGCATCTGACCATGCCAGCTCCATGCACTCTCAGACCGAGCTACTGGACACAGGCCTGCCTGGAGCAGGCAAGATGCCATGGACCTCCTCACGTGGTGGGGAGGAAAGGCTGTGCAAGCATAGCTGGAGAAACAATCAACATCTAGGTGGAGATGGCACAGGGGATGCTGCAATGGGAACACACGAGATGGAACAGCAGTGCCACATAAAAGCAAAGGAACCTCGCCAGACCTACCACAAGGTGAAAAGAAAGGAATCAGAAATCAGATGTTGCCCCTCAGACGGGCAGCTTTTACAATGAAATGCATGCCATACTTGGCAATGGACACCCCCCCCCGCCCCCCCAGCACCCTGCAGGCAACTGTAGACGCTTTTTGGAGGAACCCATTGTAGAGACTCCTGCTGTGGACAGTGAGGAGGAAGACGATGTGGCCAGGGACTCCAACCATGCTGCAAGCCAAGAACTATTGCAACTCTGCCAGAGTCGAGCTAATCTTGCCAGATTAGCAGACGTGCCCACTCATGAAGGGGAAGTGAGCTTGGGTAAGTGTGTAAATGCATTATTCCTTTCAGTGTGTGGGGATTTTTTGCTTTGTTTTCCTGAAACCTCATCTTTCTGTCCCTTCCCCACCCCCGAACAACCCTCCTCCTCCCCATTTAAAAATTGCACCCATTCCATCCGCAAGCTTAGAGGAAAAAGGGTTTTGAGTTTGGTTTGCTGGTATAATGTCACAAAATAAAAGGCTAGGGAATAAATTCAGAGAGTAGTAGGAGAGGCCATTCACAGATCAGTGGCCTGTACTCAGGTAGAGGTGGAACAGAGGTAGTCAGCATCTGCTTTTAACTTCTTTTGCTTGTTGCACTAGGTGGTAGGGGCCATGCAGAGTAGTTTGCCTATCTGAATAGGAATGTTCCCATTGCCTTGAGAGCTCCATAGAGAACTCTCAAGATTTCTAAGACAGCAGTGTGTTTTGTGGTTTGGTTTTTTTTGGCACTGCAATGGAACACTTGCCCATGCCACTCTGCAATGGGTTAAGCTGGCACCATTGCAGAAAACAGGATAGTGGCATGTGGGCCTGGGGGCTACAGGACCCCAGCTAGAGTCTCTGTGCCTTTGCCACCCTCAGGACTGAGGGGCAAAAATCACCAGTGTCTGTGAAAATAATGCCTGTATTCACTGCACTGTCCCTCTACCCACACCCAGGAAAGGACATGGAACTGTTATAGCTTCCATATAACAGAACCCCCCTCCCCTCCTCTCTGCTAGGCTGGACTCACCATGGTTTGAGCTGCAGAGCAGCACTGTAGCAAGAGGTTTCAAACCTAGCGACAAGTATTAAAATTATTTGTGGGAATAAGGGCATTTTGAGACTTATTTTGCTCTGTTCCCTCCTAACAGTCAGTCTAATAGTGCATCTGTCTAGTTTAATCAATAACTTCTGGCATGCTGGCCTTGAGCAGTGCTACCTCCATGCCTGCTGAATGCCTCGCCCTGACCAGGAGGAGAGAGGCAAGAACTAGGGAGGATTTGTTCTGTGAGATCTTCCCATACTCTGGCCTCAGACCAGGAGCATGGGGCTGGGAGGCTCTGCAGTGGAGTCTGCAGCTCTGGAGTGACGGCGGGTTCCACTCCTCTCTGTGGCCTCGCTTTGGGGCACGAGGCTGCATGGTGCACAGGTGCAGACCTGCAGTCACTGCTAATTCAAATCTCCAAACAAGAGCGTGCAGGCACATGCATGTCCCATGGTAGAGCGCACACAGGGATAAAACACCCTGCAGAAGAACTCAAGTCACTGAAAGGTAAATACCCTCTGATTAGGCACCTCAGTTAGTAACCTTACTTTCAAGTGCCTGAGCACCCAGCAGCTCCCGTTGACTTCAATGGGATTATTTGTGGCGTCAGGGTATCGCCAATTGGCCCTATCCTAGTTATTCTGCGCATAGTCTCCCTTTTAGCAAACTTCAGTATTATGGAAAAGTTACAACCAGCTCTGAATGGAAGCTTGTTTCATAACCTTCCTGCCCTCTTTACATGTCTGTGTTCTAAAACAGATGGCTGCCCTGCTATCGTGCCACTTGGGCTATGGAACTTGTGTGCCGGTAGGAGAACCCCCTTCAGGATCACAGATCTCCTTTGACCCTATGCTGCTGTTCTCTGGGCATCAATGGAAGGAGAGTTTGATTGGAGGTAAGGAGTTAAGCGGAAGTGCAGTCCTAGTGCTCTGATGTACTTGTGACATTCAGAGTCTGAACGTTCAGTCTCTTGATCTTGATCTCATGGTTAAGCAAGGAAAAGGTCCTGCTGCAGGAGAACAGCCAGAGATGGAAATGCAACCTTCACAGAGGAGATGGAAGCTACAAGTTGCGTAGACATTGCATAGTATGGAACAGGGTGGATAAAAATTCTATTTAAAAAAACTGGGTTTTTTCTTAATTTAAATAAAAATCCAGTTTATTAAAACAGATTTGAAATTGTAACACAAGTAAAATTTACACTCACTAAAATAAGCAGTACATGTTTTTTGCTGAAGTTTTAAAGAAGGCCAAACCACTGAATTGGTGGAGGTCACTGGCTAAGTACCTAGAACCAGAGTGTTGAACTACTAACCCATCTTTTGACAGCAGTAACCTCTTCAGGTGCAAGGATTCTACATGCTCCAGATCCATTTATTCAACTACTTCAGTTCAATGACTAGTTGATTCAAAGTTAAATCAACTGGGAGTTGATAAAGTAGAAAAACTAAATTTCCTCTTTATGAATAAAAGCTAGTTGAGAGGATGAAATTCTGCTCCTTCTAAAATCTTGAAGGACATGGTGACTTGACAGAATCGCTTCAATTCATTAACTACAGATCTTATTTTAATCCATTTTAAATGAAAAATGTGTTTGGATAACTTTTTTTTTCTCATATACCCAGCACATTTAAGTAATACATTAAATGCCATATTTGCACACTTCTATTTGAATTAAAACTTTTCCATCCAAATAGAGCTTAACACTAATCACATTTCTTATTTACTATTTTTTTTTTACCATCTAAGATGAAATTTAAAATTGAAGACTCAGTGTATGTTAAGCTAAATAGGTATAGCTGTTTACACTAAATTTGGCACTACTTTTGCTAAAGGCTACATTGAGTTGCAACAGAGTATCCACTTTTGTGACTTTTCCCAAAACAAATGAACAGAATTAAAATTTAGTATTTAAATTAAGGTTTCCTGCTTGCTGATTTAAATCAACGATTTTTAAATCGGTCCAGCCTGGTGCTACTCATTTCATGAGCAAGAATTCTGGAAATAAAACAAAGGGTCAAACTGAGTCCTCAGTGTCTGACTTCATTATAGCTCTTTAGTGTTTGTGGTGCTGCTCTGAGCACTGAATGCCAATGTGTCATTGTGTTTACAGTAACAATTCTGCTTCACATCCGCAGCTAAAGCAATCTTCATATTATGAACATGACTTTTCTTACCCATTCTGAGAAAATAAATCATGCATGTCACATTCTACTGATAAGCTTTTTTTTTTTTTAAGGGTGGAAGTTGAAGGACTGACTCTCTCCCTAAACTGGTGTCTGATTACATGAACAAGAAGTTTAACCCACACTTTGCCTTTTGATAAAATCAATGAAGGATTCAAACTGCTGTGGGCAGGGAAAAGGTGAGATTTTATTTATTCATCTAAATGATTTCTTGAGTCTGATATAGGAATTTCCAGAGATTCTACCATTTCTTGACCAGTTTTTGTAGAACATAAAGGCCACATGAGGTCAGGCCAAAGATCCACCTAGACCAGTATCCTGTCTTCTGTTCATTCCCTCTGGGGCACCTGGCATTGGCATTCAGAACAGGTAAAATCAAGTGATCCATCCCATCCATCTGGCTTGTGATAAGAGATGGATTCAAAATGGAAACTGATCCAGACAGTTTCCCACAAACTTTTCAAAATGTTTGTATCTGAAGCTTGTGTTGACCTGTATAAGGATTTAAAACAAGAACCCTGAATCTAGTCACTCCTGAAACTTGAAGAAACCCAAGATCGGGATCTGAACCTCATGACTAAGGTTCAATCTGTCATATAAAATAGACAGTGGCCTGTCACTGAGAATTCTGAGTGCTTGGAAACTGAATCAGGAAACTTAAGAGTCTAAATACTTAATTTAGGTGCCTAACTTTAGGCACTTAAGTCTGAACATTTGGCAATACAGTACACATTATCCTTATTCGCTGGACAAGGGTTACTTCTGTCTCTGGTCAGTTTACGTGTTGCATAGCCAACAGAATGGAATTGTGAAAATAATTGAAGGAGAATGGGCTTGTTGTAATAAATATCCAATGTCTGCATATGGACAATTGTTCGTTCTGGATATATAGAGCATTATTTGTGTACCAAAGTCCATCTTGATGCGCATGGAGCATTGTCTGGCAAACAGGTTTGTTCTTCCATTTTTCATTTCAGTATTAACACATCCTATTTTAAGCCCCTGAATGATGAAACGCTGTACAGCTCACACCCCACTCTCCAGAATCCTCTGACTCCTTCCCATTAGTTAACACTTTAATTAGTGTTGTTGTTTTTTTTTTTTTTTTTTTTACAATCTTTGCTTCTAGATCTGTATAAACCAGGCCTCTCTCAACCTGGAAACATCTGATGAGATTTAGGAATCTGTTCTTGTTTGGGACTAAATTCAAACCTCCAGCCATAGCTTTGAGCTGTGTGTGAAAGACAGCAGAGCATGTAGGAAGGAAGTTATCCTAGAGATAGGTCCACTTCCATATAATTCAACATAAAACTAAATTAACCATTCCATAAACGTAATTACACTAGCTCTCAGATAACCTAATCTAGCCCCTGCCTCAAGACAAGGCCTGCAACCTTCTTTCTATTTAGAAGGTGTTGTCCACCAGCAAGCTTAGCATCTCCTGTGATCCTTTCCCTGACTCAGCCTCCTAAGAAGTGAGCTATGCTGGGGTTGAAAGCGGCTCGGGTCTGGCCTGCAGACACTGGCTGAGGGCTTGGGGAATTGAGTGGCAGCAGGATCAAGGTTTGCTTTCTCCAGCCTGCTCTGTAGCAGCAGGGGGAGCTAGCTTTTTTTTTTTTTTCGGGGGGAGGGGGGGTTGCTCTGGTCAGCTTTGCTCAAGACCTCAGAGCCCTGGCACAGGGCAGATCACTCAAAAGCAGGGGGCAGGGAAGAGAGAATTTGCTCAGGCAGTGAAGCACTTGAATCACATGTGAGAAGTAGGTGGGATTGATGCCTGCGCTCTTCATATGGTGGGACAAGAACTTCCTCCACTCCCTGCAAAGCAGCTAGCCTACTTGCTTCCCCTCTTTTTGCCCCCTCTCCCCATAGCAGTCAGCAAAAGTCAAAAAGCCACCCTCCTGAGGCCCACAGTCACCAAGTACCCACCATCAGGAGTCAAACTAAACACTGGCATTATTGGCACCGCGCTCTAGCCAGCACCCAGAAAACATGCTTCCCCTGGATGCTTTGGCAAGGAGGAACAGCCTGCTAAGGGAACTTTTTGGCCAGTGACAGGGGTAGGGTGGGGATAGTCTCCAGTCAGGATAAAAGTAGCAGCAGTGTGGTACCATAGGGTCACAGAGCAGGGCTTGCGGTACCTGGGGGTCATGCAGAGGTCCTACAGGAACAGTGTGGAGGCAGAAAGGTCACAAGTTGACAGAGAAAAGGGCTGTTGGTAGTGGGAGGTCCTGCACAGGTTCCTGAGGACCACATTGGAGGCAACAGCGTCACAGAGAGACGCACTGGTCCTATTGGAGGTCATGTAGAGGTCAATTAGAAGCAATTTGGAACCAGAGGGATCAAATGAGGACACAGAGCAGAGGACTGGGGGCTAATGGACAAGTCAGTGAAAATCAATATGGAGGCAGTGGGGTCACCCAACATCACAGAGAACAGGGATGATTGTACGTGGGGGTCATGCAGACGTCAATGAGGATGAATTTGAAGGAATATGGGTCACAGAGGACTGGTGGTACTGATGGATCATGCACAGGTCAATTAGCATCAATTTGGAGGGTGGGGGTTACATGGTGTCATAAATATAAAGGGAAGGGTAAACCCCTTTGAAATCCCTCCTGGCCAGGGGAAAGCTCCTCTCACCTGTAAAGGGTTAAGAAGCTAAGTAACCTCCTCACCTGACCAAAATACCAATGAGGAGACAAGATACTTTCAAAACTGGGAGGAGGGAGAGAAACAAAGGGTCTGTGTCTGTCTGTGTGCTCTCTTTGCCAGGGACAGAACAGAATGGAGTCTTAGAACTTTTGTAAGTAATCTAGCTAGGTATGTGTTAGATTATGATTTCTTAAATGCTGAGAAAAGAATTGTGCTGAATAGAATAACTATTTCTGTCTGTCATCTTTTTTAACTTAAGGTTTCCTAGAGGGGTTCTCTATGTTTTTGAATCTAATTACCCTGTAAGGTATCTACCATCCTATTTTACAGGGGGGATTTCTTTATTTCTATTTACTTCTATTTTTTATTAAAGTCTTCTCAAAACTGAATGCTTTTTCATTGTTCTCAGATCCAAGGTTTGGGTCTGTGGTCACCTATGCAAATTGGTGAGGCTTTTACCAAACCTTGTCCAGGAAGTGGGGTAAGGTTTTGGGAAGTATTTTGGGGGAAAGACGCGTCCAAACAGCTCTTCCCCAGTAACCAGTATTAGTTTGGTGGTGGTAGCGGCCATTCCAAGGATAACGGGTGTAATATTTTGTACCTTGGGGAAGTTTTGACCTAAGCTGGTAAAGATAAGCTTAGGAGGTTTTTCATGCAGGTCCCCACATCTGTACCCTAGAGTTCAGAGTGGGGGAGGAACCTTGACACATGGAGTCACAGAGACTAGCCTTGGTGGTACTGGGGGTTCATGCACAGGTCAATTAGGATCAATATAGAGGCACAGAAGAAACATGGGGTCACAGAGAGCAGGGGTGCTGGTAGTGAGGGGTCCTGCACAGGTGAATTAGGATCACTTTTTGGAGGTAGAGACATCACACAAGGTCACAGACAGCAGGACTGCAGGTAGTAGCAATTCCTGGATCAGACAATGAGGATAGATTTGGAGGCCGTGGGGTCACACAGGGTCCCAGAGAATAGGGATGTTGGCAGTAGATGGTCATGCAGAGGTCACCGAGGATCAACTTTTAGGCAGAGGGGTCACTGAGACCAGGGCTGGTGATACTGGTGGGGTCTCTTTCACCAACAGAAGTCAGTCCAATAAAAGATCTCGCTCTTAACACTGTTGTCATATTTTGTCCAGGTTCAGCCATGCTCAGAGCACACTACCCAACTGGGCCCCAACAGGAAGATAAATAGGGAACTAGTTTGGCATGAATTAGGCACTGAGCTGCCAGGCAGTGTCAGAATTTAGGGAGCTGTGTGTGTGTGCCAACCTGCCAAAAGGTAGGTACCTCAGAGATTTTAATGGTGGAAACTTAGTTGCTGTCTAACCTTGTAGGTATCTGAACCAGGGTTTTGTGAAAGCCAGTGGCATCTAAATATTGGACTTGGGGACCTAACTGCCACTTTGAGTGCCTGAGTGGGCAAAGAGGAACATGGGGTGGTGCTGGAAGGATGGGGTAGGAGACAGGATAGTGATAAGGAGAGGAGAATGGAAAGCAATTGAATTCCCCCTCCTGGGCCTTAGGAAATGGATAATAGACACCTTTTTGTGTACCTAGCAACCATTTAAGGTCGCATTTTTGACCCCAAACTGTTCCCTTACAAACGAGGGGCACACAACTTTACTCTGAAGTCTCAGCAATCGTAAGGCAAGTGAGAAACAATATGATTTATTGCTGTGGTATCATGATTTTTAAGCCAATCACATTTTTAGTCTCCTGGTTTTTGGCAGATTGGGGTTGGCAATACTGGGCAGCTGATGAGTCATACGTTAACTGTCTTGATCCTAATAAATCAGTTTGGATTTCAGTGCCTCTCTTGAAGGTCACGGGGAGGGTGCCTTGATTTGTCGTCATTGCATTCTGTGGTGGAAATCTTTTGTTTGCTTATTTTGTTCAAGGACAGTTCTCTTCCAATACCTAAATTCCTGAAACTCATTACTACAAGTCTGTAACAGCCAGCAACACTGCAAGGGGGAAAAACTTCTAATAAAAACCTCTCTGGTGTATGGGAGCAGAAGCTGCTAAAGCAGGGTCCTTTGGAAACCTTTCTAGAGTTTTGACTGGACTTTCTCTGCCCTGTGCTGACTGGCTGTTTGTTTCAATCCTCCATCTCTGTCTGTGGAAGCCTATGAGTGGGATAATGTCCCTTGAGAAGCCATGAGAAATAGCTGCCAGTTGGGTCCAAATAATTAAGAAATTAGGAGAAACAGGAGGCTTATGTGTGGGGTGGTGCTTTTGGAGGAGTTGGGTTCTTTACTTTTGCAAAATCCTGTTTTAAACAGGGTGTTCTTATGAGGAGTTTTTAGAGAGTAAAATCTCAGAGGCAGCATTGTTATCTATTGGCTTATCTTGTAACTGCTACCAGCTATAATGCTTCTTCCTAAACTCCTTGGCACTAGTCATGGTGGTAAGCATTATGCGCTGTACTGTTTGTAAAATCAGGCCCTATGTGTCTTAAACTTTGTGTGCAAAATAATTATCTTCAGGTGAGAGACCAGCTCACAACACATTCACAACACCTAGTATGAAAATGCAGCAGCTAGCAAGCTATTAGTTTGTTATAATTACAGCCCAACCAATGAAACTGTTTGATTTTTCTTGCCCCAAGTAAAATGGGAGGGGGGAGTTACCAAAGAGATAAATGTGCTCTTAATTACCCAGCCTCTTTGTTGCACTACTAATAAAATACTTGAAGTACTTTAAGCAAATAAAATACAAATTATTGTAACATCTGCTGTGTACTAATTGCTGTTTATGTAACACCTGCAGTTGGAAGGATAGGCATAGAGTTGGCCAACTTGCACATGGCTAAGGACAGCATTCTACGTCCCTTTTGTCTGTCTCGTTCTCCTGGGCTGGGTCAAGCCCCAGCCCAACTTAGAGCATGCTCAGGACTACTATAACTTATATTGGCAGATAATCACTTGGAGGCTGTTACATCAGCCAGTGATCCTAGACACACTTTGGCCACTTCCCGTACACCCTACCCATGATAATTTTACCATACCCCCTCACCTCCGCAATCTAATCAACCAGTCTAAGTTATAGCAGCCCTGAGGCTGCTATAAGGTGTGCTAGCAGCTGACTCAGCCCCTAGCAGCCCTAGGGATTGGGAGAGCACACAAGTGATACAGTTTTCCTGTCCATTAAGTATTGATTCGCTGATATACTCATACTCCATGGGAGTACAGCTTCCTGTACAAAGTTTTAAACAAGAACTACAAACAGCTATTACAAAAATCACCAGAATTAAGATTGCATTGTGAGAAGAGTGGAATATATGCATTCCATAGAAGGATGATTTGCAATCCATTACAATATCATCCTGTGGGGCAAGAATATTTGTGAAGTTGACTTTTTAAGTGAGGTCTGATATGATTCAGTGTAAGGATGTTCTCTGTGCCACAAGGTTCAAAAGTCTGAGCACAGGATCCAGAATAAAGCCCGTGGGTGCCTTCGGACAGTGTGATATACATAACCTTGATGAGAAAATATATTTACACAGCCCTGATCAGAGCATTGCTGTATCTTTTTCCAAATAGACAACTGTTACCATCCATCAGCGCTTTCTAAAAATAAATCCAAAGAGCGAACATGCAATGTTACTGCCACAGATGTCGCCATTGCAAAACTATTCATGGTGAAGAGGAGTGGGTAGACTGTGAAGGAAATGGGCCTATCTAGGGAAGCCTAGTCTATAAACTTCAGTGTTGTTGCTCTGAAAACTCTTAATGTTTCTCTACCTTAGGTACAGTTTAGATTAATAGAATAGAAGATAGCTTTGATAATCAGAGGTAAGCCTTACTTGGTGAAATAAATGATTAATTCCCTAATTCTTTGCCAGTAAAAAGCCCAGAATGTTTTAAGAAATGGTGAGAGAATGAAATATGGAGAAGTGAAAATGTGGAAGAAAAAGATTTCAATAGTTCATATTAGGTCATTGATCACATACAGGGGACTTGAGGAACTTAGCTCATTTGTGCCCTTTAACCAATACCCCAAATGAGGTGGGGCCGAAACCACATCTGTAGAGTCATCTGTTAAATGCCATGTTTTCTGTAGTTTTAGAGCAGGTCTGGTGACATATATTATTACAGAATGATCAGTAAGAGAGGGGACTTGCCAGAATGACCAAAGGTCACACTCACCCACCTCGACCGAGATTGGACCAGAGTATGAGACTTGTGATCCCCTTTATTGCTTAGAACATCTCCCGGGAGGTATCATGGGGAACAAGCTAGAATCACAATATGGACTTGCATGGCCCAGCGGATGAGGGAGAATAGTACCTGTAAAAATGTGCCAGGGGGGTGCTAATTAATGTTGGGGGGGGGGTCAGTGCTTGGGAGGAGTGCGGGCTTGACTGCCATGCAGTGTACTGGTGAATGACAGATGAACAATGAATTGGGAGGTGAGAATCACAGTATGGGTTCACATAAGGAAGTTACTTGAATTGCCGTACCTAACTTCACAGAAGAATAGTGTTTGCTCAGTAATGTATAATTGCTCCTGATTATGGTTTTAGCTTTATTATCTCAAATCATGATTGTTTGATATGATGCAGTGATACCAATAAACTTTCTTGATGACATAAAAGGCTTTATTTGTAAACATGCTAAAACGATCCAACTGTCACCCATTGCTAGGCAGGCCAGATGCCATTACGACACCCCCAAGCAAGCAACAGAAGAAAATTTCCAAAACAAAAGTGCAGGAAACACTGCAAACCCCCTACTGCTGCATGTCGCCTGACCCCATGTTCTCCTTTCCCTGTTTTCTGCACACTTGGTTCTTGGGAAGGAGGCTGGAGGTAGCCACAGGAAAGAGGTTCCAGAAGGAAGGCTGTCTGAGCTTTAGTTGCCCTGCCCAGCTGCTCATAGGGTCTGAATGCATAGGCCACCCCAACATGGAGTTGACCAAGCAACTTCTGGACTGAAGATATGTTGCAGGGGGGGTCAAGCCGTGGTGTGGGGAAGGCAGCAGGAGCTAGTGTTTTTCCAGCCATGACAGAGATGAGTTGCTGAAACAGTTCTCTTTGTTGAGCTCTGTCCTCTTCCTCCCTTAGCTGCCATTCCTGTTCCAGGAACTGCACTGCAAGTACTGGCTCCCTCGCTGAAACCCTGTCCTCCAGCTGTGCAGCGAGCCTCAGCCTTTCCTCCAGCCTCCAGCATGCCACTGCTCCAGTCTTACATCCCTCTGTTTCTGGTACTGGACCTGCTTGTCCGCTCTCTCCAGAACTTGGAGCATAACTTCATCATGGTAATGCTTCCTCTCGGAAAGGTCTGTGAAGGTACATTGAGCCAGGGCTCAAGTTCTGGATGTACAGCAGCCAGTGGAGGTGGGACAAGAAAGAGACAGAGTCAGAAACTTACCAAGCTCAGGGGCAACTTCTGTCTCCTCGGGGTTTGCTGCAGGCTTGGCAGCAGGGTGTTCCTCAGGGTCCGTGGGGGGCATCAAACAGCTCTTCCCAGTACGGACCCAGAATTTGCCGTTGATGCTGTTCCACAAGTTGCTCTGGGACCAGTTTCAGAAACAGAGTCACTCAGCGCCTGCTGCTGGTTCCCACCAGTCCCCACGCTGGATTCAGATAGAGGACATAGACCAGGTCATCGTGCACCACAGTTGGCTCCGTGCCCGGCACCCAGCCAACTCCTCATAAAACAAGAATGAGGTTTTTCAGTTACCCAAGGTGCGGTTCTGGTCTCTGGTCTTCTGGTACTCGCTGTTGAGCTGTTTGATCTGCTCCCCGCACTGCTCCCTGCTCTGGAAGATTTATATGTTTAAAATATTCCCAAAATGCTTTTTTCACTCCAGTTTCACAAGGAGGAAATATGACTGTATGTGAATATCTGGAAAAAAATCTTTTTGAAAAACCAGTTCACCACAGCCATTCTTAAAATATATGTCACGACTACGTTATAATTCCTACTCCACCTGTGAAAATACCATTTTTGTTCTACATTTGTGATGATCTTGTGTTGACCCCCCAACTCAAAATAAATTATTGTAATTAGAACCAATCACTACAATAAAAGTGGCAGACTTGTTAATTAACAGACTGTACATTTTAAATTCTGCACATTGGGCCAAATCTGGAGGCCAGGTTATTCAGCCTTGAGGGGCATATGTTCAGCATCAGGCTGTGTAAGTTCTTTGCACTCTGGGTATGCTGAATAAAGTCAGTGGAGGGGTAATACACTCACTCTCTGGGCTGGAATCTATCTGCTACAAAGTCTCCAGGATTTTGTACCCTGGAGACTTATCCTCCAGGACTCACACTAAGAACAACAGCTTGTCTCACATAGACCAGTAGCTGTCCATGTACATGATAAGTTGCTCACACCCCCGCTGGGATAGATTCAGATCAGTGGAAATGAGGTATTAACTCTCTGAGCCATCTAGTCCCTTTTGATAAAGTAGTTTACAATAAAGCATTTCATTAAAGTACTTTTTTCTCTCAGTACCTATTCCATTCCATTTCACCTCCATATTCTCTTTTGAATACATACATGCTTTAATTATTAAACATCTCACTCTGGTACTATCCCACAGGGACAAGAGGCAGCCATCAGTCGCTAATGCCAAAATTTGCCTTTCTTGTGCTAACCTTGCCTCACTCCCAGTGTTGAAGCCTATTCTGTGCTGTACTGATCAGGCCAGAAGACAGGATCTTTAACTTGGATTGTGGAATTTACTCATGGCCTTCTATTACTGTACATCAGTAAACTTTTTTTTCTTTTTTTTTTTTAAAGCAATGAGATCTGCTTCCTTAACACAGATAATACAGCTAGAGGAAATTGTTAAATATGTGTAAATACAGTACTTTTTTGTCCAAAATGAATGCTTAAAGAAAACTAAAATATGCCACAGCAAAAAGCCCGGTCGTTGACACTGTGTTTTTGCTTGGCCACGTTACGGTGATCAGATTGACTGTGTCCACATATCTCTTAAGCCAATGTCGACATGTCAGTTGCACAACAGTACTGTCTAGCTTTATTTTACTTTTTTTATGGTCAACAGTGCCTCACAATGAATGGAGCTGCCCTGCGCTCTAATTAACTAGCCACACTCACTTCTACAGAGCAATGTCTAGAGAAGAATACATAGCTAACCATGCAGGGGATCACACTTATCCCAGGTCTCCTCAGACACATCCATTTGTTGCCTATATCTGGCCCACCTTTTACCCTTCAGTTAGAGGAGTAGGAATGTGGGTGGTTTGGGACTTACGTTTGTCTACCTTTGCTCACCCTGGGGCTGAGGCACAAAAACTATCATACGTATTGTATAAGAGCTAACAGGACCAAGACCAGCATGTGTTTTTAAGTATCTGTTTCACTTATGTTTTTATATAGCACCAATCACCAGGGTATCTAAGACTTGAAATGAATTCAGGCAGAATCAGAGATTCACGTCGCAAACTCTTGAGCTCAGAGATATCATAGAGTGTTTTCCTGGTGCACTATGATCCACTGAATTAGGTAACGCTATTTTATTAATATATCATTTTCTTATACAATGCCTGATTCTGGTTTCAGTTACACTGATGTAAAATGGGAGTAATTTCACTGAAGTTAATGGAGTTACACTATTGTAAAAACGGTGAGAGATCAGAATTAGGCCCATAATACTTAATCCCCTGTTCCCCCTTTTCTGTAATTTTTCATAACAATATACGGAAGAGCGCATTAAAAAGGCAATTGCTTATTGTTAATGTGATGATAATGCAGAAGGCATATTGTTCAGCTATGATGTCTATTCTGGGAAACATTAGCTGTAACTACGAGAAGAATGACAAAGAACATTTTCTAAAATGTATTTCCTGCACAGATATTTAGCTTCTGCTTCAGCTAAAGCAAGTCACAGTTATTAGGATGGACAATGCATAAGGAAATGTTGAAATAAGACTGTATTTGAAAGTCATAAGGAAATCCATGGAAAGTATAAAGCTATACTGCATGTAGGACCAGCCGTGTAAGAGAGACAGTAAGGATTAAAGGGTGGATTCTGCAAGGCACTGTGCCTCCCTCAGTGCTGCCGCCTAAACAGGCCCATTTGGGGAACCAAAGGCAGAGAGACAGCAACCCACCCACAAGGAAACTAACGAACGTGCATCTTCTAAAAAGCAAGAGTGCCATTTAGGGCATTACATAATCACTTGTTCCCTGCAGTGACCTAAAACACTTCACAACAAACTCATCCATATCCTCAAAGGGGTGGCATTTTGCACATGTAACTCAGACAGAATTCTTCCAGAATTAGAGTCAGTAAGCCTGGTGAAGTTCACTATTCCACTGCCCTAAAAAGACCCATGCAAGACGACACTGTGGCACAGTGGGGTTCTGTACAGACACAGGGCTCCTGCCCCATGGTTTTCTTTACTGGACTGGGACCCATAAATTTATTTTTGCTTTGCCTTTACTTGTGAGTATAAAAGGGGGATTTCCTAATGACATCCTTTTTTCTCCTCATTTCCTTTCCCCTCCATTAAGTTTTACAACTGTGAGATTAACATTTTACAAAGGGAAAGAGAAAGAGAAGCCTAGCAACCAGTAAGTAAGTCAGCAGAGATGTATTATGTATAGTTTTTCTATTAGCAATCATCGCAGTTTTATTTTTTTATGAATAATCCCATTGCACCTACAAGTTTACTGCAAATGTGTTTCTTTCAGGTAATATTGTTTAAAGATGAATAAAGCCACAATGAAAAGGGAAAATCCTGAGAAAACAGTAAAAAAGCTATTTGAGTTTTATGTCAGGCAATCGACACCAAAATTAACTTCTGAAGGACGGGGACAGCAACTATTATAAGGGTTGCTGAGCAGCAGGTAGTTTACAAAATTGAACTTGTGCCCATGAAGTCTTATGGTTTATTTCTTTGGGACCAGTGTAAGAGCAGTTGGTGACCAGCTGTGGTCTAGTGGTTCTCTCCTGGATCTGGAACAGAGATTCCTCTAACTTGTAGAAAAATCAGGGTGGTAGCTTAACTTGCTATATTGCAGTGCACCCAGGAGGATTTTTATTTTACAAAACTACAAGGAATATAATATCGCATTAGAAATAAACCCAAGCCATTGTTCTGGATCTGGATTCTAGTTCACAGCTTAAAAAAAAACCAAAACAACCTCTCTCGTTAATGGTCTGAAACCTATCAACCTGAATATTGCCAGTTTGAATTTGGATCTGGATTTCATACCCCAGAGTTCTGCAGTGTTCAGCTCTGGGTGCTTGATATGGCCTGTTTTGGAAGTAGGAAGTCACAGACTCTGCACTTGGGCTGGATTATACAGTGCGGGTGACAGGATATCATACTGTAAACTCCTGGTTAGGGACTCTACAGTACCTTTCAGGGTAGGTGTAGGATTTTTGTTGTTGTTATGGAACTATTATAGGTGCTCTCTGTACTTGGCTTGAATTTTCATTAGTTTCCTTTTAATTCTACTGCGGGATAGTCTTCTCCCAGAAAACGGAGCAAGAAATACTATTAATTAGTATAATTTATTTCTTTTATAATACACTTAGAGGCCACAACTAAGATCAGGAGCCCATTTGTGCTCGGTGCTTTACACGAACCTAATAAGCACACCCACTATCGCAGTAACTTTGAAATACAAGATGAGAAACGTATACTGAGACCATGGTACACTCTGAATTTGTTAAACCTTGCAGTGTATGGTTGCTATGTAGTTAGGAGAGATTACTCATGTATTATGTATGTTTCAGAACTTCACAGATGTCATTTGCAAGCTATTCTTACGTTTTCTGCTAAATATTATATCGGAGATGTATTTGAAATCATATTTCCATGATACAATGGTATCAGTTTTCTCATTATTTGCCACTTTAGGCAAGGTTTATTGTCTCTATTAGTTCTAGATATGAAGGGACAAATGTGAAGTCACACTATTTAATGACAGATAAGCAGAACATCTTAAAAACAATCCTTACTATAAAAGATTGAAAACAATTGCTTAAAATCAAACTGCAGCCAATTTACTGTATGAAATAAACCTAGCAACATATTCTGCATGAATGCAAAAGAAAGAAAGAAAGAAAGAACAAGAAGCCATGAGCTGAGAGTAGGTTCCCTCCTATTAAGCGATCATAAACTTTATTCTGATTATAAATCTGGCCCCAGTTCTCCTTTCATTGAAGTCAATGGCAAAATGGAGCCCTTAATTAATAAAGTAATGCTTACCCATCAAAGAAAGAAAGAAAGAACAAGAAGCCATGAGCTGAGAATAGGTTCCCTCCTATTAAGCGATCATAAACTTTATTCTGATTATAAATCTGGCCCCAGTTCTCCTTTCATTGAAGTCAATGGCAAAATGGAGCCCTTAATTAATAAAGTAATGCTTACCCATCCTCCCATCCAGAAACTTGGGGTACTGTACAACATTATTAAAATATTTGTCTCTAGCTGCATCTGGGTAATAAATAATCCTTTGCTCTTTTAGAGCATCTTCCATCTAAGAATCTCAAAATGCTTTACAAACACTAATTAAATAAGTCTCACAAGGCATCTCTTTGAAGCTGATATGTAGGTAGGTAAATATTATTAGCTCATCTAATTTAACAGTTGGGAACCTGAAGTTCGGAGATATTTATGCTTGACCAAAGTCATACAGGAAGTCCGTAGCTGAGCCTGGAATCGCATCCAGCTCTTCTGGCTCCCAGACTTCTGTCTTAACAGCAAGACCATCCTGCCTCCCCAAGAACTCACTTAGGTTTGAATCCTACAGCTACTGAGCAGTACTGTACTTAAAGTTAAACACATGATTAAGCTGGATCAGGACCAGATGCTCAGCCTCTTGCGGGATCAAGCTCCTATTGGTTTAGTTGTTAGTAAATAGTGACGTTGTAAGAACATGAAAAAATGGTGTCCACGCAGCTGACAGAGATTGCCTATCAGAATTAGTTAATACCCATTCTTACAGAGTAATTCTCACAACTTGCTAGAAGAAATCATTTTTAAAATATACAATATCATCTGATGATATGAAGGGACAACAGCGCAGGCACCAAAATATGGCATGGAGTGGGAAAGAATCAGTTACTCACTTCTCGTAACTGTTGTTCTCCAGTTGTGTTGCACATGTCCATTATACTAGGTGAGCATGCACTTCATGCATCAGTACTGGAAACATTTCCCTAGCTGTACCCTAGACTCAGAGGCATCCCTCATGCTCCAAGCTGAGAATATGAAGGGTAGAGACATCCCACCCATCCTTCAATTCCTGCCTACCAGAATCTTAGATGATAGACTCCCTTGTGCTGGGGACGGAAGGCAGGTCGTGTAATGCAGTGGTTCTCAAACAGGGGTATGTGTTCCCCTGGGGATACAAGGAGGCCTTCCAGGGGATACAGCAACTCATCTAGATATTTCCCTAGTTTTACAACAGGCTACATAAAAAGCACTAGCAAAGTCAGTACAAACTAAAATGTCATACAGACAATGACTTGTTTATACTGCTCTGTAGACTATACACTGAAATGTAAGTACAATATTTATATTCCAATTGATTTATTTTATAATTATATGGTAAAATTGAGAAAGTGAGCAACGTTTCAGTAATAGTGGGCTGTGACGCTTTTGTATTTTTATGTCTGATTTTGTAAACAAGTCGTTTTTTAAGTGAAGTGAAACTTGGGGTATGCAAGACAAATCAGATTCCTGAAAGGGGCACAGCAAAGTG